AGTCCGCGGTGGGGTGGGGCCGGCTCTTCGGCGGCGTCTGAGCGATGTTGAAGTCGCCGACCACGTAGTAGTCGTGGTTGTCAGGGCGGAGGGCAGAACGTTGAGCAGCTGCTTGCCACGCAGCTCTGAAGTGCTGTCGGTCAGAACCGCTGAGGTCGTAGTTGTGGATGTTGAAGATGGTCGTCTCGCGCTGCCTTGCTCCATCTTGAACGCGTAGTTCACCAATGCGACCAGGGACGATCGCGCGAAATGTACGTAGGGGCCGTTGATCAGGTGGTAGTTGGTGTTCGGCTCGATCAAAGGGAACCAGGAAGGCGATGCCGCCTGCGGTCTCCGAGGAGTGGCCGTCAGTCACGAGTGCTGAGTGGAAGGCAATGTACTTGTGGTCGGTGCTCGCGGCCAGGATGTCCATGTCGATGCGGTTGCCGTGTGTCTCTTGGAGGGCGATGACCGCTCGTTGCCGCATGTGTTGTGCCCCAGCGGTGGTGTCGTTACGAAGCCGCTGGGCAAGAGTGAGGTCCTGGTACCAAATGGCCCTGGCAATACTGCGGAGCGTGAGCGCACGTGCCTCTGCTATGACATGCGGGTCTTCCCTTTGGCTCTCGATCGGCATGAACTCGGGGGCGGAGAAGGTGGTGATGGCGTCGCGAGCCTTGCGCGCCGCCAGCTTCACTACGTGCTTCATTGTCCGCCAGTTTGAGATGGGGTCGGCAGAGAAGTCGGCCATCTCGACAAGGCGCTGGAAGTAGAACTTGTAGTGCATGGACTCGAAGAGGAAGGCAGGGATGCCACGCTCGCTGACTGGGCGTGGCTGTCGAGGTCGAAGTCGAAGATGTAAAAGTTTGCGATCGCTGACGGGCTCTCCTTCACGGTCAAGCGGTCTGCCACCGGCAACAAGAATTGACTCGATGTGCGGGATGTTGGACGCGTTGATCGAGACGAAGCATCTGTCGATGGTCGCCTCCGTTAGGTTGGCAGCGCATCGATGAGCGGTGGCCTTCGCTGTGATCTCCATCATCTGTGAGAAGATGTTCTTCCAGAAGACGGGCTGGTAGTGGTAGCGCTCGGCAGTGGAGTCCGCGGCGGGGTGGAGCCGGCCCTTCGGCGGCGTCTGAGCGATGTTGAAGTCGCCGACCACGTAGTAGTCGTGGTTGTCAGGGCGGAGGGCAGAACGTTGAGCAGCTGCTTGCCACGCAGCTCTGAAGTGCTGTCGGTCAGAACCGCTGAGGTCGTAGTTGTGGATGTTGAAGATGGTCGTCTCGTGCTGCCTTGCTCCATCTTGAACGCGTAGTTCACCAATGCGACCAGGGACGATCGCGCGAAATGTACGTAGGGGCCGTTGATCAGGTGGTAGTTGGTGTTCGGCTCGATCAAAGGGAACCAGGAAGGCGATGCCGCCTGCGGTCTCCGAGGAGTGGCCGTCAGTCGAGTGCTGAGTGGAAGGCAATGTACTTGTGGTCGGTGCTCGCGGCCAGGATGTCCATGTCGATGCGGTTGCCGTGTGTCTCTTGGAGGGCGATGACCGCTCGTTGCCGCATGTAGGGGAGCAGCATCTGGCGCTTGAGGGCACGTCGTGATGCCGATCTGCCGTTGAGCGCCTGCGTGTTCCACGAGACCAGGTTGAAGCCATCGGAATGTGGTTTCGTGAGCCACGGCGACCATCGCGCGCTAAAGCAACCGTACTGCCTCCAGTGGGTTGGCGAAGGCAGCAGCCAGCGCGGTAGCCAAGGGCACGTGCTCGGTGATGGGGGTGCCAGCGGGAGCAGCTGCGTCGGACCAGCGAACTCGGGTAGCTTCGTCAGGAGTGGCTCCAGCCGTGATCTGGACGATGGGGGCGCCGTTGATGGACAGGAAGCCGCCAGCACGGTGGACCCGAGTCTCGAGCATGGGGAACTTGTCATTGATGAGCTTGTTGAGCTTTTTGAGTTGTACTTCCTGTCGGACCATGCGTGGTGATTGGTCCGCGGAGACGTAGAGAGCAGTGGGGCCAGAGTCAGATTCCACTTGGAAGCGGCGCCATTCTCGTCCTTGTCGGAGCGCACGATGTAGTGCCTGGGCTCGCGGAGCAATAGTATTGCAACCAGTGAGCGTGAATGAAATCCTCCGTGCTGGACCTTCCGAGTTGATGCGGAGCGCGTTGATGTCCACATCGGCAGCGTCGAACCAGGGGGCGAGCGCGATCTTGAGCGAGGCGACGGAGAACTCTGAGGCAGCACCACACCAGAAGGTAGCTGCATTCGGTGGACGGTCCCAGACACCAAGGGCGTCCATGTCCATAGCTGGGTGAAGAGCTTCAGCATGTCGTAGAGCTCGTTGGAGAGCGTCCACACTGGCCTGGAGGTTGCCTTGGAGTCGCTCAGTTCGGTCAGCACGGCCTTTGAGCTCGGCGATGTCCCGCTCGGCAGACTCCTGGCGGGTGCTGAGCTGCTCGGTGACCTTCGTGATGTTTGCCAGGAACTCGGCTTGCGCAGCGGCAACGACTTGCTTGGAGGTGGTTTCGAAAGCGGCGGTGGCTTTGTCGACCTGTGTCTGGAGAAGGTCCGTGAGCTCCTTCCGCTGGTGTGCAGGTATAGCGGTCGCGGCAAGCTTCTGAGCGCCAGCAGCCCAGGGGTCGTCCACGGAGGCGTCCCTGCCCTTGCCCTTGTCGCTGGAGCCGGCCGAGCCTGAGGCGCCAGGAAGTCCCATCGCGAGGCGGGAAAAATGGAGAGGCACAGCGCCGTGTGATATGTAAGCCGCGTTCCTGCAGCAAAGAATATGGAGAAGCACAACGCCGCGGGCACGGCGAAGGCGGAAAGCAGTGGTCCTTGCAGTCCCCAGACCAGGGGTCTCCGTGCTCTGCCACGGGGCACAAACATCTTGAGCCAAAATGGCTACGGAAGAAGAAGAAGGAGGAGGAGGAGGAGGAGGGGGACATGACGATATGGCATGCTGTGGCATGCGCGTGGGGACATTTTCTCCTGCACCTCGCACCTCGGCTGACGAGCTCGCCTCACTGCTTGGGAATTGTTGAGGGCATCCTGCGAAGAATTTGGATGTACCACGCTTCGCTGCTTCTGCGTGCCGACGGGGCAGGTCTACGGCGGCCGCGCGAGGCGGAGAGGAGGAGGAGGAGGAGAAGACCCGAGCACATACAACATGCAACAACGATGCTGCAATACGCCAACTTGTCCCAAGGCCCCCGTCCTCACAAGCCACTGCGGCAGGTTCGAGTCGTGTCGACCCTGGCGTCGCTTCCTGACACCAAGGGGATCGTACAACCTTGAACGATCGGCCGCTTCCGAAACGTCAGATCTTTCAGCATCGACAGATTCTGAGTCGCCACCGGCGTTGAACGTTGAACGCCACCGGCTGGGTCGCCGCCGGTCGACACGGCGCGAACCCGCCGTACAAGAGCTCTTGTTTTTGACTGCCCGGATGGGATGCCTCCTGGAGAGACGATCGCCCCGACGCTCCTGCAATTCAGGCGAGAGCCTCGTGCTGAAAAAGAGCTGCCATCCGGGCTTCTAGCTACAAGAGCAACGACGAAGTGAGACCATAAAGTCAAAGGAAGGGTCCAGCGGAGGCACGGCTTTGAAGAAGAGCCACCGTCGATCAGTGAAACGTTTGATAAGCCCATGAGCGCCTGGAAATAAGATCGACGGAGGTCTCAGGCGAGAGCCCCGAATTGAAAATCAGCCGCCTTCCGTCCGTATAGCTATTGAGCGTTAGTGCAAAAGAGCTAATAAGCGAAAACTTGATGTTGAAAACAACAAACCTTCATCCGTGAAACAGTTGGAAGCTGTTGCGACGGACGCGCGCGGCGCTAATGCGAGAACCACGATTTGAAAACGATCTGTGCCCCACGCATGCACATGTACGGCGCAAGAGTGAGATGCATATCTCTGGCGACGGCCACAACTTGAATCTGCCCCCCCATCCATCCGTGCAACTGTTGTATGTGCGGCGCTAAGGCGAATGAGTGCGACTGCATGCGCGCGGCGCTGAGTCGAATGACAGACGACTGAAAGCGTGCGCAACTGTCAAGGCGAATAAATGCGCGCGGCGCTGAGACGAATGACAGGCGACCGAGTGCGTGCGCAGGTGCCAAAGAGAACGAATGCGCGTGGCGCTGAGAGGTTTGTAAGCCGACCCCCCCTGATCGTCGTCGTCGTCGTCGTCGTCGTCGCCGCCGCCGCCGCGGCCGCCGCCGCCGCCGTGAGTGTCGTCGTCATCGTCGTCGTCGTCGTCGTCGGCGTCGGCGTCGTCGTCGTCGGCGTCTGCGGTCGTCGTCGTCCGCGCAGCTGCTGGAAAACTCGGACTGCGGGGACCTAGGCGGGAGGCAGCCTCGTGCGGAACGCCTGGCCTGCCCGACAAAGACGCGCCCAGTGGTCGGACGAGACGGCGGCATCTTGAATGGTAGGGGGTAGGGGAAGAGGGAGGAGGAGAAAGGGGAGGAGGAGGAGGAGAAAGGGGCCCTGGGACACACAAATGAATACACACAAATAACAGGATTCCCCATATTTTCCCATATGTTTTGGGTTTCTGTCCTTCCCCCCACTTCCCATATTTTCCCATATGCTCCTGGGAGTCGACGATGAATTGTGTCTGTGTGTTTTTCCCTCCTGGAAGGGGTGGGGGAGGGGGGAGAAGGAGAAAGGGGAGGAGGAGGAGAACGAGGAGGAGGAGGAGGAGGAGAAAGAGGGGCAGGAGAAGGACAATAAAGTAGGAGGAGGAGAGGCAGGGGGAGGAGGAGGGAGGGGAAAGAGGGGAAGAAGAAGAATACCAAGCAAGGAGGAGGAGGAGGAGGAGGAGGAGGAGGAGGAGAGGGCAGGAGGAGGAGGGCGGAGGGAGAAGGACGGAGGGGGAAGGAGGAGGCGTAGGAGGAAGAGCATGAAGAGGAGGAGGGGGGTGAGGAGGAGGGCGGGGCGAGAAGGGACAACTGTAATTGCGATCGCGTGATCACCCGATCGTTGCGAGCAGCGACTTCTGATCGCCCGATCAGCGGCCGCTCAGGCCGTCGCCGGGAGGCTCCTCCCCCTCGGGAGGAGGATGAAACTCCCCCCTGCAGAACCAGGGAGGTCCGAAGCCCTGGGCTCCTGCGCGCGAGGGAGGAGGAGAACGAGGAGGAGGAGGAGGAGGAGGAGGAGGAGGAGCAGGAGCAGGAGCAGGAGCAGGAGCAGGAGCAGGAGCAGGAGCAGGAGCAGCAGGAGCAGGAGCAGGAGCAGGTAGAGGAGGGGGGCGCCAGCATCGATGCAGGCGTAGACGCTGGAGGCCTCTCGAGGCTTCCACTTCAGGCCTCAGCTGCGCTTCAGCAGTCGGAGGTGCTCGCGGCGTCTCTTGTCAAACCAGAGGCCGAGAAATCATTGGTCGGAGGGCAAGCAAGTACTGTAAAACACTCGTCTGTCAGGTCTTTCAAGTTTCTGTGGATCCATGCAGGTGCCCGGATGAATTCTTTTTTTAACTATGCAAGTCTGAAAAGCATTGTGCTTACAGTGGTTCCTTGCCCTGTTACCTGAAACAACTGTTTGTTATCACGATGGTTTCTCAGCCTATGGCTTGACAAGACGCGCCGCGAGCAGAGGAAGAGGAGGACGAGGAGAAGAAGAAGGCGGGGAGGAGGACGAGGAGCAGGTGGGGAGGAGAAACAGCAGGCAGGTGAGGAGGAGAAGGAGGAGGAGAGGCAGGAGTCGCAGCAGAACCACGCACAACAAAGAACATTCCAGAACAAATTCCGGGAGTGATCTCGGCTCAAGAAGATGTGTCTCAAATGTTGGTTGCATGTGTTGTGTTGGTTAGCTTGCTTTTTCAATGGTTTCTAGCGTTCCAGCCTCCAGCTGCGGAATGCGCCTCCGGTTCGAAACCTTGAGGATCTTAGAGCTAAGAGCCCGCGGCGCCCGTCTGAACCCATCCGAAGGCTCTCTAGAGCAGTGTTGGGGCATTTGCTTCTTCCTCCCCCGTTGTTCTTCCCATCGGCCACCTCCTTTCCCTTATACTCGTCCTCCTCCATCGTCCTCTCCCTCATGTTCCCTTGGCTTCGTCCCCATCATCCTCGCCTGCGGCTGTCGGTGGTGCTCCTTCGCCTCATGAGGAGAAGGAGGAGGAGGAGGAGGAGGAGCAGGATAAGGATTACCAGGAATTCCACCGGATCTCTCACGAATTCTTGGGTGCCTAAGAATTCCTTTGGATTCGTAGGAATCTCCAGGATCTCTAAGAACTCCTGAAGCTCATCAGATTTTGAGGGATGGAAAAAAAACGGCCCAACCCTGGGTTACAAGTGCGTGGTCTGTAAACCTCCTGGGAGCCCCCAGAGTCTAGAGAGCCGCCAGGACGCGGCACATCACGCAGGGTTTACCCTGTCAGCCCAGCGGAGTTCCAGCGCACAGCGCCTCGTAAACCAGGGTATGGGGCGCATTCTATGCCCATGAAGATGAACAGGAAAATCCTAACGATCAGTCGAAACTCCCACGGACTCCTCAGCAGCGCCTAGGGTTCCTCTGGGGGGGGGGGGGGGGCGAACGGGCTCGGCGTGCGGCTTCGACTCGGTTTCTGGGCATTCGCACGAGCACCCCGCAGGATGCCGAGCAACTCGCACGAATCATCAGCAATGCCTAAGAAGTATAAGAAACACCTTTCGGATTACCAGAAAATTCTAAGCATTCTTGCGGATGCCTTCGAACCCTGAGGACTCGGTAGGATTCCTGAGAATCCGCAGTATCCCAGAGGAGTCCTCAGGCTCATTTGGTTCCTGAGGAAGTCCTCAGGAACACCTGGAATTACAATGGAGCTCTTGTTCCGAAGGATTCCTTAGGGTAGGCCGAACGAGCTCACATGAGCTCCTAGGAATTCCGATGCAGGAGTTACCTCTTACGCCTTTGGAACAAAGTTCTACCAGAGCAGGTAGCGCCATCTCCTGCCTTTTGGGAACAATCAAAAAGTGGCGAACGAGAATGGGTGAGCAGGTGGGAGGAGGAGGAGGAGGTAGGAGGGAGGAGAGAAGAGGCCCTTGGCTCCTTTGTTCTTGCCCTTGCCTTTGTCTTTGCCTTTCTTTTCTTTGTCCTTGTCCTTGTCCTTGCCTTTGTCCTTGTCTTTATCCTTGCCTTTGCCGCCGTCTCCCCCTTCCTTGTCCTTATCCTTATCCTTGTCCTTGTCCTTGTCCTTGTCCTTGTCCTTGTCCTTGTCCTTGTCCTTGTCCTTGTCCTTGTCTTTACCTTTGCCCTTATCTTTGTCCTTCCCCTTGCCGCCGGCCTTACCACCAGCCCCCTCAATGAAGAGCTCGTCGATATATGGAGACTGGAAATCTAGGCTCTTGATCATGCCAGCATCGCCCTTGTAAAGCAGGGTCATGACGATGTACTGCATCCACGTGGTTCCACATTTCATGTACGTCGCGATGACGATGTCACCCTCCGCGAGCGCGAAACCGTCACCCTTACCGGCATCTGGACCATCATCCCTACGGCGCGAGCAAGTGTCGCCCATGTACTGAACCAGGATGCGAAAGGCTAGAAGCTCGAATACCTCTGATGGCGCAGCGTCATTTGAGCCCCCAGAGCACACCCAACGGCCGCAGCAGCAGCACAAGCGGCAACAGAAGCGGCAGCAACTACACAGATGCTGGTCACAACATTGCACAGGGGTTGAAGTCGAAAGTTCAATATGCCTCCCCATACCCCTCGCCACTCCCCTCCATTTCTATCGTACCCCTCCTCGTCATCGGATAAGGAAATCCACGATCAGCCTCGTTTTCCTTCTCCGTCTTCTTCCCTCCTTCCTCCTTCCTCTCTCAAGCCGCTCACTCCTCAATCACTCTCCTCCTCCACCACTGGTCCTCTTTGCTTAAAGCTCTTCCCCCCTTTCTCCTCACTGATGTCTCCTGCTGCTCCTTCTGCTCCTCCTGGCCTCCCCTTTCCCCCTCCTCCTACACCTTCTCCTCCTCCTCCTCCTCCTCCTCCTCCTCCTCCTCCTCCTCCTCCTCCTCCTCCTCCTCCTCCTCCTCCTCTGCTGCTTCTTATGATTATTCGTACCATCCGTTTTCATATTTCATCCTCATCATCATAATCATGATCACCATCATCATCATCATCATCATCATCATCATCATCATCATCATCATCATCATCATCATCATAATCATCATCATCAGCAGCAGCATCATCATCAAAAGTATCATCATTGTCAGCAGCAGCTTCATCATCATCAGCAGTATCATCATCATCAGCAACAGCAGCATCATCATCCTCCTTCTCCTCATCATCATCATCATCGTCGTCATCGTCGTCATCATCATCATCGTCACCGTCGTCAGCATCATCATCATCAGCCTCATCCTCATCCTCATCGTATCAACAAGACTCGCGAGAAGAAAAACCCACCCAAGGAGCCGATCAAGCCAAAGCCCCTATCAGTGCCGGGCCTTCGTCAGGGAGTGCACTTCCCGATCATCAACGGCGGCGCCACCGCGATTCAGGGCTCAGCACCACCATCAGCCATCAATTGTGATGGGTCAGATATATCAAGCAATTGAATTCTCAGGGCTTCGAGCTCAAGCCCGTGCAGAAAACATCAGAGCCCGAGAAATGATGATTCGAATGGGTTTCATTCTGGAGGCAGGTGAATGAGATTTCAGCTTGCGCCAATATTATCAGAAAAGACTGCTGCCCAGTCAGCCTGCCAGCCACTACACAGACACAACTAGACATGTTTACGCTTATCGTGTTTACTGATATTTGCCATTTGTGATAGTGTGAGCTTGTAATGCGCATGCAAGCACGCGTGCCCTAGCGACCACAGCACACGTACAGCTTTTTGCGAGGATGTCTGCAGGCAGATGGACACACCCAGGAAGTTCGAGATCGGCCTTGAGGCTGATGAGGGGCCCTGGTCTTGGTGGGCCATGAAGGGCTCCCTCGAGCGCTCCGTGGTCTCGACTTGCACAGCACCAGCAGCAACGAGTGGCATTGGCAGGTGCCCACATCTAGAGCACGCACGCGCAAGCTGTCGTCGTCACTCGAACTGCTGTCGAAGTCTCCATTCCGCTCAGGTCATCCTCACCTTAATACCTTTCTTCCTCCTCCTCCGTGCAGCCTTCCTCCCTCTTCCTCCTCCTCCTCCTCCACCACCTCCTCCTCATTTACCACGTTTTCCTCCTCCTCAAACTCCTCCTACTACGCACCATAACCACCACCACCATCACCATCATCACCCTTCTCATCATCATCGGCATCATCATCAGCAGCAGCATCAACAGCACCACCACCATCTGGTAATCGTTTTGAGCAGCAGCAGCATCATATCAGAAGCGGCATCAGTACCATCACCCGGATCATTATCGCGCTGAGAGATATACGAACAACCTTTACAATAGAAATCGGCATACGTAAACGAAGAACCAGCAGCATCGTTTCATCATAATCACAGACACGCGCATCATCATCCTGATCAGCATCACCATCGTCATCATAATCCCCGTCATGAGCATCATCATCACCACCATCACCCGCCCCAGTAAAGTCGATCATAATGAGCATCACAACCCTCATCACCATCATCAATATCGTCATCGTCATCGTTATCGCCATCGCCAACATCACCATCACCATCACCATTACCATCACCACCGTCGCCATCATCGTCACCACGACATTCATCATCAACCATTGATCACCACAAACACTACCATCATCATCGTCAGAACCATGCTACTCATTATCAGCATCATCATCCTCATCATCATCATCATCAGCATCATCATCATCATCATCATCATCATCATCATCATCATCATCATCATCATCATCATCATGAGCGTCACCTTCCTCCTCCTCCGTAGCCATGTTGGCTTAAAGTGCTGTGGTTCCCTTCGGAACAAATGGGTACCGCTAGTCTGCGGCCAGCTTCAAGTGCGTTCTGTGTAGACAGTCCTGCACGTCCTCTAGCCAGTATTGAACGGGCTCCCTGGCGGCCCAAGCGTTCCATTCGTGTGGCCAGCCGAGCCTGTCTGATGGTTGTTGGTCCCTATAGCTTTCAGAAACGGCGCCGCGCGGCTGTCAGCTCATGGTTCCCCCAGTGGTGCGTCAACCCACGGAAGATAGAGAGGTGGTGGAACCATGCAGATAAGCCGAGCTGTTCAGTATGTGGCGCGAGCAAAAGGGCTGCATTCGGTGGCAATCGCGAGACCAGCGATGGCAAACCCGCGCCAAGGACCGCCAACGTCCAGCAGGCCAGGCCGGCAAAGGCGGATGCTGGGCTCCAAGGTACCTGCGAAGCGCAAGCCAAGGAGACTCAGCAGTTCAAGGCCTTTTCTCGCGGAGAAAACGAAGGAGCAGGACGGGGGCGCGGCCAGCTCGACCGTTCTCGAAGCCGAAGACCCAGTCCAGACTAGGCCCGAGACCCTGCGCGGCACGCTGCGCTCGATCGGGTCCTCCTCAGACCCCAGCATCGTCATCGTGCGCGTGCGGCAGGAGCTCAAAGCCGAGGTTGATGAGCTCCAGTCCAAACGCGACGCCGCCAAGCCGCTGTCGGCCCAGTTGCCTGCAGCGACAAACAGGCACCAGGCGCTGGAGCGCAAGGGGGGCAAGCAAAACGCCATCATCGAGGGCCTGCGGCGCAGGCCAAGTTGGCTCGTGAACTCCTCGAGGCCCAGCATTGCGTGTCGGGCATCGCGGCCGAGCTGCCCGATGCAGAGCAGAAGAGGGCGAAGCTGGCAACGGTGGCCCCGCTTCCGAAGCAGGATGACGTTTCATCGCCACGCACGGAGGTGCCCGCGCTGGACCTCGCGGCGGACCAGGTCGGCCAGATGATGCAGGCGCTGGGCAGGGAGGAGTCGCTCGCGGAAGAGGTGGTCACATTATTCAGCATGCTGCGGGAGCTCAACCAGGCAGCCGCTGCCCGTGCGGCCGAGACCGCAGCTCGGGAGTGCGAGGCGCAGAAGGCGCCGCAGCTGCCGCCGCCAGCGCTGCTGGACACAGATGATGGTCTCGAGAGCCTGCGCGCCCTATACAACGACACGTTCGTCAAAGAGCCTCCCGGTGACGAGCAGACCTTGCGCGCGGCGATCAAGCGGGTTGGATCTGCTAGCGGGGAGCGCGCCTAAAAATCGAGACAGGCGTAGGCAGCGTATGCGTTGACACGGTGATGGTTGTTCGTGTCTGCATGGTGCACTTTACCCCCGTCGGCTCAGGCGATGCCCCGCTGCGGAGACGATGGACGCATCCGTGCGCTCTCGCAGACGGCCGCCGCCACCGCGAGAGGAAGCGCAGACCCTGTGCGGTGGGACGCAGCCCTTGCTGCCCCAAGTTTGGCGACGTCGGCGACTGCGCTGGGCGATCGACCCGAGAAGGCCACCACCTTTGGCGCGGCATCCCACGAGAAGGGTGGACCTCCCAAATCGTAAACGGAACCCGCCAGGGGCGTCGCTGGAGGTCTCGCGTCATGGGCGGCATCGACGGGCTCGGCTTCCGCGAGGGGGTCGGTTTCCACGTCGGCATCGACGACTGGGCCATCGTCCCCGTCGCCTCTTGGAGGGGCAAGCGCGGGCGAGTCCGCCGCCGTCTTGGGTCGAGATGCTGCGTTCCAGCACCACGGCTGTAAAGATGGCCCCCCTGTCTCAGGAGCGGCGCTGGTGAGTCCGCCGCGGCCGCAGGTCAAAACGCCGCGACGCGGCACCGCGGGCGCGATGATGGCCCCTCCGCCCACCCACGGCTCGAAGAGGTAGGGCCGCGCCGAGCTCCTCGACGGCTGACAGCGCGCGAAGGCCGCCATAGGGGCGCCGCTGCAGGTCGCGCATCATTAAGGGCGGCATATACTGGTTTAGCTTCCGCGAGGGGATCGGCCCCCACGTCGGCTTCGATGACTGGGCCGTCGTCCTCGTCGCCTCCTGGAGAGGCAGGCGCGGGCGAGTCCGCCGCCGTCGTGGGTCGAGATGCTGCGGGCCAGCACCACGGCGGCGACGATGGCCCCCCCGTCTCGGAAGTGGTGTTGGGCGAACCCGCTGCGGCTGCAGGTCGAAGTGCTGCACTGCTGCACCGCGGTCGCGACGACGGCCCCGCCGCTCCGATCGGCTCGGAAAAACTCGGGGTTGCGTCGTGCTCATCGACAGCTGCCGGCTCACAAAGCACGCCCAGGGGTTCAGAAGCTGTTTGCGCGGACGCTGTCCTACCAACGCTACCTAAGGACTCGCACTACGTTTGGCGAGCACCCCTCGGCGCGCGCAGGAGCCGACCATCTTCCTCGTCAAAGTCTTGCCCGGTTCAGTTCCAATGGCGCGGCCTCTGAGCACGGGGTGGCGAACTCAAGGGCCTCATAGTATTCACTGGTACCTCGCCCCACGGCCCGCTTACCTACCTTCTCGCGCTGCCGTCGAAATCGGTCGACGGTGCGGCGTTGGCACAAGGTCATCGCGCACAGTCGGATCGGCGCTCGGACGCCCAGGGGAAGGCCTCGGGCGCAGGGTCTCCTCGAGTTTGGGCGCCAGCTGCGAGCGCGGGCCGCGGCGGCACATCGGGTGGAGTCGCCGCCATCTCGACCGCCAAGGTCCCCGGCGACGGCTCCTCCTTTGGAAG